ATATTTTTAAAAAACAAGACGAGAACAAATTTTACTAAACACCAACTAAACCTCAGATACTATGGCAGATACAATTAATAATTTCATTTATTTCTCAGAATTTCCCTGCAATGTGAAACAGAGGGACAAGACATGATTAATAGAAGGAGAACAAAGTTTGGATGCAGATTTGGTTCATTTGCAATCAAGAAATGCCTGGGAGAACACCCGTGTGAGCATGGGAGAATGCTTGTTTCCTTATCTGTGCAATCATGCTACTCCTTTTAGCACGAACCTGGGCAGGCAGTAGTGGGTACTAACAGCTGTATATGTCCTGCGACTGGCACATAGGGAATACTTTTAAAATAATAGGATTTCTACCATTTTGCAGATTAGGAAGCTAGGACATAAGTAACCTCCTCAAGTTCCCCCACTGATAAAAGGGGAAGCTTAGACGTGCAGTTCCTGTAAGAGTTGATGCCATAACTAAAGCCCCTCATATCAGAATCTTTTCCCCTAGCTCAATCCACTGAATTTCTCCCTTGGCTAAGAACTCATACAGCCGAACTAAGGCTGACACACATGAAAATCTTAGCCTGTGTTCACAGCAAACACAGAGACTTGTTCGGAATTCTCTGAGCCCAAAGCGTAACAACTCTTTATCATCTCAATGAAGACAACGATCATTTTAGATTTTAATCATCCTCAGTTCCATAGTGGTGCCCAATGCAGTGAAGCTCTCACATTGAGCCTAAGGTCAAAATAAGACATCCCGAGAGTGAGGCTGCATCACCATACTAGAATGCTATCTGATGCCAGTATGCCATATCCCTGTTGGTTACTGCTTCCACCTGGTGGTCATATGTTGCTAACACAAGCATCCAGGTGCCCGCAGGGTCCATTGGCCACTGGCATGTACTATAACTAATTCCGGTCCCTGCAGGGCTTTTAGTTCCACTTTCTTGCCTTTTGATTACCATTAAGTTCCTCCAGTGGAAAATCTTCCCGTAGGGAGTGTTCTTTCCTGGGGCTGAAAAAACTAGGATAATCCTGGATACTTCCCTACGAGCTCAAGTCACAACTCAAGGCATGATTTTCAGCAGATATTTCTTTAAAAGTTCGAAGGCCTCTGCAGACTCTAGTTCCTTCTCTATGGGAACAAGCATCAAAGAGACAGGAATAAAATGCTTTGCACGCACATCAGGAACTAATTGCCAATTTGGCAAATGCATTGACTAATGTCATGCACTGTTATTTCTAAATCCTCTCCTGTCCTTGACCCCCAGTATCTAGATGTAAACTTGGAACCATTAGTGGAGAAGGATAAAGTCTTCTGGTGCCTCAAATGGAATTGAGAGGGATTTAAACTCGGCGCTTTTGAGTGTAGTGAAATGAGCTCAGCAGTACATTAGTGCTAGGATTTGAGCTCACACAGCATGAGCGCTTTCAAAAACCATGTTTAAGGAAGCAAACAGAGCCACGGCAGACCCTTTCAGTGGAGCAAAAGGAGTTGGAAGAAACAATCAATGACACATTAAAAACCACAACTGGGCTGCTATCATGTGGGCAGGGTAGAAAAAGTTTCTCTTTATCACAGGATCTTTGCATCTAATGAGATGGTGACTGGACAACCTCCAGAAGAGGAAAGCCTCCGTTTACTTTAGCTGAGAAATGTCTAAATATTTAGTTGATTTTCTCAAAAGCCCTGCATGAATCTGTAGCAAACTAATCACAAAAGGTAAGTTCTTATCAACTCTATATTGCTATTGAGAAATGTACTTAAAGGGAATTTGGAAAAGAATAATAAAAAAAAATGACTAAAAGTACAAATGTTAACTTTTTGTTCACTCAAAATGAACTGTTTTTAATGTCCTTCAAATACTTTGTTGAGGGTCAATACAGTGCCTGCCAGTTAATACTTTTTCTTTACTGCCTCACTGATTTCTGCTTATCTAGGCTTTCTTTCTATTCGTTCTAATGGTGAAACCTATACTGCATGGTTTGACATATCTACAGTCCAGTTGGTCTGAAGCACTTGAGGCTGAAAAGGGAAGTGAGGGGTCAGACAGTGGCACAGCAGCAGAACCAGATGCTCCGTAAGACTGACCCACATGGGAAGGCCCCAGGTTCTTTTCCAGAGACCTCCCTGCGTACGCCAGGCATATATTTGCAGGTGATCTGGGCTGGTTGAGGCTGCGGATGGGTTGCTGTGTCAAGACCTGTTGAGGATGGTATATTTCTGTCTTTCCTCTTCTCTCTCTGTCTCTCTGTCTTTCTGCTCATGGAAGAAATAAATAAGGGAGCAATTCCTGAGTGCATTTTCTTAAGAGAGGAAGGAGGAGTTAAGAGGCTGAAGAAATGTAAAAATGTGTGGAGAGGTCCAATGTTTAAATTCCCAGTACTGTCTTGTATTAGCAGATTTTAGCCAAGACACACATCCAGTTTGCTCTGAGCTTCTAGAATCTTCTGTGCGGCAATCCCACTACATCTCTTACAGCATCAGTTGGGGTTTTAACCTTTTCAGACTTTCTGGCCATAGACTCCTCTCCAGCTTGCTGTTCTTTATTTTGCTTCCTGCAAACTCTTACTGTGGCTCACCAAAATGTCCCCTTCCCCCACTGCAGGCAGCCAGCACTGCCAGGTCCCGCCAGTTTGATTAATGTGTCTTGGCTAATTGTGTGAAAGATGGCAGTCCTTTAGCAAGTGTGACCAGCTCATTGTTCAGCCAATCACAGGCGCCTCTCAGTTAGCATGTGAAAGGGGGTGTGTTATTGGGGGAGGGTGAGTGTTCTGGCGGCTAAGTCAAAGGAGGAGCATTTTGGGGGGTCACAGAGCAACACCCACTTCTTTGAGGGGATGTTACTATGCTCTACTAAACCTGTAAACCTCTTACTCAAAGCACTTTTTTTTCTCCTCCCTCTTTTTTTTCAAGATCTTTTTTTTCCCATGGTGCAAGCGGGAAGACACTGGCTACTCTGCAGATGGAGTTCACGTTCCAGGGTTTTTAATATTTCACTTTTATATTTCTGTTAGAGAATGATCCTGCTGAGAGTCTGGGAATCCGTGCTCGTCAGAACCCCCTCACTGACACTTGGATATATTGCTCTGAAAGCTATCCCAGGAGAAAAGATTAAACAAAAAAAAAGCCTACTTTTCAAAGCCTACTTCTCAATCTGCCCACATCAAAATAAGACAACTGGCCCTTTGAAGTAGAGGACACAGAGTTCTCAGCTGGCTTGCTTAAAATGGGGAGTGGGGAGAAAGGAAGGAAGGGAGGGAAGGAGAAAGGAAGAGGAGATAAAGAATGAAGAAAGGAAGCAAGGAGGGAGGAACAGAAAAAGGAAGTGAGAGAAAGGAGAAACAGGAAGGAGAGAAGGAAGAGAGAAGGCAAAGAGGGAGGCAGGGAGGAAGGAAGCAGTCTCTAAAATTGTACATCCCTCTGACTTTGCCCAGATTTAATCAGGTACAGGAGTCCAAGATGGCACTAGAAAACCTACAACCCTGCTTATCAAAGCACCAAGAAAATAGGTGACTAACTGGTCAGAGAAACCTGTCCCACTGGGTGAGCACGGGGAGATTTCTTTAAAACTCTTACAGACAGAAACGGTGTTGTCCTCCTAGAAAGAGCCCAGACAAAGTGTAGAAACGGCAGAGTGGACGTTGATGAACATGGAGTGTTCCCTAACATTCTGAGCAATCTGGCTTTCTCAAAATTGTACTGGCTGAATACAAAGTTGGGGCTCTTACAGCTACTTAGAGTGAAAAGGAAAGGAATGGACATCTTGTCCAGGATGTCATTGACACAGTTCTTCTCCATGACATTATTCTGTCTACCACCTCCTCTTCTGTTCCCCTTAATAACTGGAGTTCAAGTGCATAAAAGCAACAGTCTAAGGACAGGGTGGGAAGAGGTAGCTTAAAGGGACTTATGGATTCACATAAGAGGATGTTCCCAAACATAGATGTGGATGACTCTTTAAAATTATGGTCCTTATAACTGAGCTTTCAACAGTACCATATCCGACACAGGCTGGACTTGCCAGATTTCCAGAGGTGGGCTTAGACAACTTGGCTATAGCTAAGGTTACAACTCCCTTACCTTCATTAGCTCAGCCTGGCCCATGACCACAATTTTTCCATGCCCATGAAAGCAGGGCTCACATATGTGAACCCCAGTAACAGAGAGCTGGTGAAAGGCTACATAAGAAAGAATCCAGAACCAAGTTCTAGCAATCCCAAGAATATACCGTATCCGTGTGTGTAGTTCCAGCACAAGCACACAGCACCCAGGACAGTTGGTGCTCCAAAATTTTTGACTTATTTGAATTGAGTTGAATCCTTATTAGAAAAACAACACAAAGTATAAGCCCTATTGATGTTGGGCCTAGAGAATTTTCTTCATAAATAAAAAATTGCACATTACTTTGAAATGACAGCAAAATGAAAAATGCAACGTATTTCTCTCTGTTTTTTTGGAACCCAGTTATTTTATCTAGCACAGAATTAGGCAGGAAAACATTCTGCCCAACTTTCTGTCGCACCAAGGCACTCTGAATTAAGGATCGCCGTTCATTGCCTGGGCCGACACAAAAAGCAAATGTTGGGGGTTTGGGGAACAGCATCGCTAATGATGGCAACTTTGTATTGAAATCATCCAAACAGGTTTCAACAACTTTCTGGATCTCTAAACCTTTGTTTGTACCCACGTAAGAAAGCTAAGGAAAAGGGTCTCATCTTCATCTGAGTGGAGAGCAGAGTGGACAGGGCAGGGTGGGAAAAGAGGAGAACCAGGTTTTTCTGGAAACCATGGTAACTAGACGTAGGAGTGATTGCGTGCTTCTAATGTCAACTACTATTTCAGTGTCCTTCTCATAAAAGGGTTAGTTCTCAGTCTGTGAACTGAGAAATTCAACTAGACTTTATCTTAGCTAAGGTAAGAAACAGGGGCACCTATTTCTGTAGCCAGTACTCTCCTTCCATCCCTAATGCTCAGAGCATTCAGAGGCAAGGATGACTATTACCTGGATTGTAGTTAGGTAGCTTGGAGACTCCAGGCCAGGTATCCTCTGTAGGGACTCCCAACACCTACAGAAAGCCAAAGAAAGACAAAGAAATATAAGAGGAGAAACCAGGTAAATGGAGCAGATATAGAGATATAAAAGACAGAAAAAGGAGGAATGGAAAGAATTAGATTTATGTCATATTATGGCAGTTGTTAGAAACATTAGTGTTTCCAACTTTGTAGTTTATTGGAAAAAAACTACTGTATTCCTATGATGCTGAGCCTATGTCTTCACTTCACTTGCAGATTGCAGAACCTTGCTGAAAGCCAGTCTCATGTCTAAATATTGATTGCATGGTCACCACACATTAGGATGCTATGTTGACAGTAGGGGTGTAAGGAAGCAGGAGTGACTATCCCTTTGCCTTCTCTTGGATTACCATATGTATATTGACAGAAGATGCTTGACAGTTTGAATTATGTCTCAGTGTGGGCATTCAGCTGTTCCCTAATGTGATCAAATTAAAAAGGATTCAGATTACTGACCTTTAGGCAGTGGAATGTTGGCTAAAAATGACCCCAAACTTACTCTGGTCTTTTATACCCAAGTCATCGCATCTGCTAGTTGTCTCTGTGACCAGCAGATTGAAATATGGTATTTGGTTCTTCACTGGTGGATTATAATGGTAACAACATTCATTCACCACTTGAAAAAGAGCTGGCCACTGCTTTGGATTACCAAATTGAAGCTCTAGGTTAAATAAAAATAAAAAGCCTTATGGGGGTATAAAACCAAAACAGTTTGGATTCTGAATGGGGTTGTCACTGTGAGTTCCCCTGTAGTCATCATTTTATCATTCTTTTAATGATATAAATGTCTGTGAGGTTTTTTTTGTTTATGTGAAGTACTAGTAGGTTTTTTTTTTCTTTTTTTGCCATAGGGCACATGTGCTTACCTATGAGAGGGAAAATGAGAAATCATCCAATGAATCAACCACCAGTGGGGATGGCTATGCCATAATCCCTTCTCCTCCATTCTCTTCTTGGGATTTTAGGCATGCATGCACACACACCTGGCATGATTTTCAAGTCACCAGGTCCGGGACTTGAACTTCAGTCAGTCATTGTGGGAATCTAGCATCTAGCACCTTAACTACCACACTACCTGCTGGCCTACTGTAGATTTCAATACACCATTAACAGTAAGAGGCACTACTTAAAAAGTTCACAAAAAATACATACTGTGAAAAAACTATGCATGGGTTTCAAATTTTTTTGCATCAAAATAAACTCATACTTTAACTTCATTTGTCCACAATTTTTTGAGAAGCATATCTTAGGATAACTCCATGGAAGCATCTCTCATAGGAAGAGACCAGTGAATTCATCTGTAAACCACTGGATGTAGATGGCAGCCTAATTTTGATAGCAAGAAGTCAACTGCCCAACAAGTGATTGAATATAATCATGAGGAATCCAGAATCTTAATATCTATCAGCTTGCTGACTAGACCCCTGACTGAGAGGTATACATTCCAGTGGCTGTTAAGCTTGTCTTCAAACAAAAGATGCTGAAGAGCTATTTTCTCCTATATAATAAAAAACAAAAACCATGCTACCCACTAAAATCTTCTTTCTTTGATCCATTCCCTAAACAAACTGAAAAGAGACTGAGAGGATTATAGGCTTTTCCTATCAACTACCCTGAGCCTGAGGGAACATGAAGAATCCTGGAATCCATTTTGAAAAACCAACTGGACTAATTCTTCTTTTGTGGGAGAGGGTCAGAGGATGTGAAGCTAATGCTTCTTCTTAAACCCGTATCTTCTTATGTGTTTGCACAGATGCCTGTGTAAACAAGTGGGTGTGATGCACGTGTACTTGTATATATTCTGTTGGCTGGCAAAGTACAATGAAAAGAAAGCAAAGATAATGAAGAGAAAATAACACAGGAAATAAAGTACATCCATATTTTCCCTAAGGTGAAAGTTACCAGAATTGCTGTTACTTCATATTATGTTTAAAGCCAACAAATTGGATGCAAAAGTTTGTGAATATTGTATGTGAAAAGCTTTACGCTTGAAAATTTAAACGTTTAAACAAAAATTCAATATACTTTATTTGGAAATTTGATGCTCAGTTTCTTTTTGAAAGTCACTGAATTCGTTTTCACTTGAGAAAATTACTAAATCTCCCTTTTAACTATCTGGGAAACTGAAAACCAAAATTGTTGATTTACTCCCTCCCTGAAGGCTCTTAAAAGGCAGTTAGTGAGGGCTATGTTTTAAACTACAGTGGGATGGAGAGACTGTTTATCTACGTTTGTGGAATAGAAATTGCAAGCATTTTGATTAGTGGATTTAAAGTCTGCATAGTTTATTCTGATTTTAGAATTGAATCCAGGATTATTTGCAAGAAAGACTCATTAAAGGCATTAGATTTTTAAAGTACTGGTCAGAAAGTACAACTACTATTTAGACATGAGCACACACACGCACACACACACACGCACACACGCACGCACGCATTTCAGAAAGACGGTAGCATAAAGATTCAGGACTTTTCATTATGTCTTTCTTCCTAAGAGTGAGACCTCAGGATAAATGAAGAGGAAAATTGTGATTAGAGGTAGGTAGATTTAGAATGGATTGTTTTCAAACAAATCCTACATTAAATATCAAAGAACCTGAAGTAACTTTCCTGTTTTCCTCTGAGTAGACCGTATCTTAGTAAACTACAAATTCAGAAACTATTTTTAAACTATTTAATTTTCTACCCTATTTGACAGGCAACAAAAACAAAAATAGACAAATGGGATTATGTTTAAATAAAAAGCCTCTGCACAACAAAAGACGCAACACAGTGAAGACACAAACTACAGAATGGGAAAAAATATTTGCAAACTATACATCAATATATCCTTATATATTGAGTTGTCAGAAAAGTCATAACATATTTTTATATACAAAAATGCAACATGACATTTCCAACAACTCAATATATAAGGAACTCAAAGAACTCAACAGCAAGGAAACAAATAACATGATTAAAAAACAGGCAAAGGGGGCCAGCCCAGGGTACAATGGTTAAGCTCTGTGCCTAGAAAGCTGGATCCCACATGGCCAACTGTGGTTCAAATGCCAGCCCTGAAAGCTTAAAAAACATGCTGGGCATGTGCACGTGTGCCCCAAATCCCAACACAATGGAGTAATGGAAGAGAAAGGATTGTGGTGTGACCATGTTCCATTGGGAAGTTTCTTTACTCTCTCTTTCTCTCCCTCCCTCTCTCTCTGGGAAGCACACATACCTTCTGGCAATTAAAAAAAATGGGGAAAAGATCTTAAAAGAAGACATATAAATGGTTAACAGATACAGAAAACTGTTCAACATCACTAATCATTAAAGAAATGTATGTTAGGACCATGGTGAAATATCACCTCATACCTGTGGGAATCTAGTATCAAAAATATGAAACAGGTGTTAATGAATATGTGGAGAAAAGGGAACCCTTGCATATAGTCGATGGGGATGTAAACTAGTACATCCATTATAGAAGATGGTAGGGAGGTTCTTCAAAAAAATTTAAAAAATCAAAATAGAACTATCATGCCCTAGCAATCCAACTACTGGATATGTACCCAAAAGAAAGGATATCAGTTTATGAAAAGGATATCTGCATTCCTATGTTCATTATAGTGAATGATGGTATAGTATCTTCACAATAGTAAAGATACAGAATCATCCAATGTGTCAATCAACTAATGGATCGACAAAGAGAATATAGGATATATGCACAATGGAATACCATTCAGCTTTAGGGAATAAAACAAAACCAAAAACAAACAAACAAACAAACAAAAAAACACCTTGTCAAATGGCAAGTGTGCTTACCAGAGGGAGAGGGATAGCATATTCCCTAATGGGGTGTGGTCATGCCACAATCTCTTCTCCTCCATCTCTCCATCCTGTGGGGATTTGGGGCATACATGCGCATTTGCCCAGAATATCTTTCAAGCTTCTAGGTCTAGGACTCAAGCCTCATAGTCAGCCATGTGGGATTCAGCTTACCTAATCACCAGACCATGGAGCCAGCCCACTACTCAGCTCTTAAAAAGAGGGAAATCCTATCATTTGCAATGACATGGATGAACCTAAAGGGCTTTGTGTTAAGTGAAATAAACCAAGCACAGAAAGACAAATATTTCATGATCTCACTTATATGTGGAAGCTAAAGAAATTGAACTCATAGAATCAGAGAGAACAATAGTGGATACTAGGGGTTGAGAGAGGTATTCCCTTTGGAGATGCTGGTCAAAGTATGCAAAATTGCAGTCCAAGAGATTTATTGGACAACATGGTGACTCTATTTAATAACAATGCATTATTTTATTGAAAACTGTAAACAAGGTAGATGTTAAGTGTCCTCACTGTAAAAAACGATAAGTATGTGAGGTGGTACATATTTGTTGGCTCAATTTGGCTATGCTACAATGCATACTTATTTTAAAACATCGTGTTATCCATGATAAATATATATAATTTTTAATTGTTAATTACAGAAAAAAAAATCAGCCCAGAACCAAGGTTCATCCCTACTGTTACTCAGATGTGTAACTGAGTCATATGGATAAGTTCTTATAAACATTACAATGTCATTAAATGTATTGGGGGCCTCCTGCAACATCCTTCTACACTTTTTTCCCCTTCTGGAATTGCTGTAACTTTATCTGTGTGACCTTGTATATGTTGGCACTACCTTAGGACATTATTTCCTCATCTGTAAAAAGGAAAAACTTGGGGACCAGCAGTTGGTGTAATGGCTATGTTGCTGGACTCCCAAGTAATCAACTGCAGTTCGAGTCCCAGACCTGGTGGATTAAACTCATATCAGGCACATGTGCGAGTGTACCCAAGATCCCAAGAGGAGAATGGAGGAGAAGGAATTGCAGCGTGGCCATCCCCCAGGGAGGGGGAGTGATTTCTGTCTCTCTGTCTCCGTCTTTCTGGAGAGCGCACGCACCCTATAGCAAAAATCTCCCCCCAAAAGTCTTTTCCTTTATTTATGACTGATGACGTGTGTGCCCATCTGATAGTGAGCAAGAGGAGAGAGAGATGAGTACCCTCTACCAGGTCTGATAATGAGATTTCCTTTCCTCCAGTCCTCCAGCCCATTTGTTCCTGGTACATTCCAGGCTAAGCTCAGGACTTGCTTAAACCATAGTTAGCACGTAGGATCCACCTTTTCTTTAGCTGTGCCCCACTGTTGTGTCTTGGAGCCATCTTGTTTTATGAATTCCAAGAGCTGTGCTAAGTGTAAGGAAATGTAAAATAATTGCTTCTTTATTCATTTAATTAATTAATTATTTTTTAAGAGAGACTTTTGCTGTAGTTCACTTGCATTCAACAGAGAGACAGAGAGAGACAAAGAAACAGAAAGCAAGAAATCACGCCCCCCTCCCCCGCATGGGGGATGGCCACACTACAATTCCTTCTCCTCCATTTTCCTCTCAGGATTGGGCATGCACACATGCACCTGGCCTGAGTTTTAAGTTGCCGGGTCTGGGACTCGAACTGCGATCAACTACATGGGGGGCCAATGACATAACAATTATGCCATCTGCTGGCCCCAATAATTGCTTTTTTTAAAAAAAGAATATTTTGTGAAAGGACATGTGTGCTTGCCAGAGAGAGATAAAGAAAGAGAGAAAGTGAGAACACAGTCCTTATGGTAGATGGTCATGCCACAACCCCTTTTCCTCCAATTCTCATTCATTTTGGGATTTGGGGCACACACCCACACATGCCTACTGTGTTTTTTCAAACCACCGAGTCTGGGACTCAAACCATGCAGCTGGTCATGTGGTATCCAGTCTCTTTTATTACTACACTACCAGATGGCTCAAATGATTGCTTTTTAAGTGTATGATCATTTAAAAATAGTACATAATATTTAAAAATCAATTTATATATCACTCTTCAAATGCAAATAATACACAAAGATATATTGTATTCTTTTCAATATACTTCTTCTCAAATATCCTAACAGCCCATCTTTTTCTTCTTTCTTTTTTTTAAAAAGAATTATTTATTTATTTTATTTTATTTGTTATTATTTTTTTAATTTGACCAGAGAGAGAGAAACAGAAAGTGAGAAAGCAAGCTGCCAGGTTTGGGACTTGAACCACAGTCAGCCATGCAGGAGTCCAGCGCCCTTAACCACCACGTCACCTACTGGCACCATCTATTTTAATATTATAACTTATTGGGTTGTCGGAAAAATCATGACTCCTTTTTTCTGTGTTTTTCTATGCAAAAATGCATGATGACTTTTCCAACAGCTCAGTATATAAACTATACAGCCTTTTGCATATGTACATGATTTATATTTGTTTCACAGGTATTTACTCATACTTCACCCATCACTTCATATAGACAGAACAACACTTAAAAGGCAAGATCATGCATTTTTCTTCTGTTTCCATGTCTTGTAGCTTCTTATAAGAACTTTATTTATATATATGATGAATGTCCAATAAGTTCTGTTTCTTGATTAAATAACTAGGACAAACTCTTCAAATATATAAAAGGTTATTGCAGGTCTAGGCAGTGCTACTTATGCCTTCTCCATGGAGGACAAAAGGTAATTCACTATGTTGACAGAACAATTAAGTTAAATTCCAGTAATGCTTATTTGCAGTTAGGTTATTAAAACATTTCTACAACAATTTATAAGAGAGACAAAGAATGCAAACGTTCATAGAGTGCATGCGGTACACAAGCTTGTTATGCATTTGATCTTACGGAGTTCTCACGACAAGGTTTGAGAATCATTATCAACATCATGAGCTCCATTTTACAGACAAGCATACTGAGACCACAAATTGCCCACATTCATTGAGCTTGAGAATGGTTAGGATTCACACTCAGGTCTTATGACTCCAAAGCCCTTACACTAGGCTGCCTCTGGCCTAGATGAGGCTATAGGATCCAGTGAGGCAGTTTGAAAATAGCATTTATCTGTCTTTCAGGGGAGATTTAAAAGTCTTTTGGCTTGATTTTTTTCCCCCTTTCCTTTTCTTTTCTCTTTTTCAGTTTGTGAATGCATCCCAGTTTTCCCATATTCCCTCTCAAAATCTCCCATGTTCCTAAAAGAAAATGTAATGCCAGTGATTATCACTATAAAACGTCTTAATTTCACACAGCATGCTTTCTTTTCGCCAGGAGACAAGGAGCAGGATTCAGGATACCAAGTGAAAAAACCCCTCAGTTTAAAGTAGCTTAACACCTTTTAGAACACGGATGGATCCTTGAAAATAGTAGACCCATGAAATAAGGCAGGCCTCGAAGGGCAAATGCTGTATGAACAATTCCACGTATATGAGGAACCTAGATTAGGCAAATGGGACATACAGAAAGTAGCTTAGAGGCTACCAGGAGTTTGGGAGGGAATGGGTGTAAGTTAGTTTGTTTTTTAGGAATTATTTTATTTAACTTTATTTCTTTATTTTTTAATTTTACCAGAGAGAGACAGAGAGCAAGAGAGAGAGAGGGAAACTGAGAAAGCAAGCTACCAGGTCTGGGACTCGAACCATAGTCAGCCATGTGGGAGTCCAGTGCCCTTAGCTACCATGCCACCTGCCAGCCCTGTGAGTTAGTGTTTAATGGGTGCAGACCTGTTTGGGATGATAAAGTTCTGGAGATGGACAGTGGAGATGGCAGCACAACAGTGTGAGTGTACTAATGCCAACAATGAAAATGGGGCTGGCCCTGTTGCCTAGTGATTAAAGGATTGGATCCTGCATGGCCAACTGTGCAGTTCAAGTCCTGGGCCTGGCAGCTTGAAAAACAAACCAGAGTGTGTGTGTGCATGCCCCCAAATCTTGGTAGAGTGGAGAAATGTAGGAGAAGGGAGTGTGGCATGGTCACACCCCATTGGGGGTGCTTTCTCACTCTCCTTTCTCTGGCAAGTGCATATGCCCTCTGGCAATGAAAAAAAATGGACAATGTTTACAGTTCATGACTATGGTTTGACTATATCATGACATAAAGCACAGCACAGTGCAAATGAGGAAGGGTTAAATAATGACTGAAGAGGGCTAGCCCCATAACCTAGTGGTTAAGGGAACTGGATACCACATGGGCAATCATAGTCTGAATCCCAGCTTCGGCGACTTGAGAAACACAGCAGGCACCATGTGTGTGCATGCCTTAATTCCAGTGAGATGGAGAAATGCCCACATGGTATTGAGGTGTGCTTTTTCCCTCTCCTCTCTCTCCATCTCTCTCTGGTACATACACTTACCTTCTGGCAACTAAAACAATAATAATAAATAATGACTAAATAAATGGAACCACAAGGCCAACCCCAGAGCACAGTGGTTGTAGCTAAGCACTATGCGTTGGTAGCTAGAGCCCAACCTGGCTGTAGTTCAAATCCTGGCCCCAGGTAGGTTGAAAAACATAATGGGCAAGAGGGAAAAATGAGAGATAAGGGATTGTAGCATGACCATGCCCCATTGGGAGTATTCTCTCTTTCTCCTTCTCTCTCTTTCTCTCTCTTTTCTTCTCTATCACTTATGTGCAAAAACATACACCTACTGGTAATTAAAAAAGAAAGAAGAGAGAGAAAGGAAGGAAGAAAGAACAGACTGGAACCACACACAAAGACACCTTTAGGAATTGGGTTGTGGGTGAGCATACCAGTGAACTTCTCTCATGGAAACAACATGGAAAGTCTCTGTTTCATCAGGGTTCTGTAGAAGTGTCTTATCTTCTGTTAACAAAGACCCAGGGCCAAATATGGTAGAATTGCAGAGGGAGTTGCAAGGCGGGGATGCATGCAAGCATTAAGGGCAGAAATCACCTTGGGAGGTTGAAGCAGGATCAGGAGACTGGAATGTCATCAGTGAGGCAGATGCACAGGCTGTTATGGGACAATGGGGAGGTCCTGACTATTCATTCCCAGGTGTTCATACCTGTGGCAGACTCCACAGTTTCCACAACCTTAATACATGGCTTGATATGTCAAAGCACATGGACTGTTTCAGTCATCTCTAAAACAAATTTGGTTCAAAGTTTAAAATACAGATATTTCTTTCTTAAAGAGGAGATTTTCTCTTACCTCCCAGATCTTCTCCAGCTGTTCAAGAATGTTGGAAACCCCAGGAAACAAAGGATGACCCTGGAACATTTCAATAAAGATGCAGCCTGCACCCCTAGCAAAGAAAATAAGAATCAACTTGACACTTTCAAGGCAACCATTCATGCGGAACTAAACTACTAGAATTTCTCCTCCTGAGAGGTAGTTCAGGGACTATTAAATAAGGGCCACATGCCATTAAAAGACTTCAGGGGAAAAAAAAGTCCTTATGTCGGGGAGAAAAAAAAAAAGGACACCCTGCAGATTTTTGTTAAAATGGAACATAAGTAGGGCTGGCCCCATGGCCTAGTAGTTAAAGGAGCCAGATCTCATGTGGATAATCACCAGGTTTGAATCTGGTCTCAGCAGCTTGGAAACCATGCATATGTGTGCATGCCCCAAATGCCAACAGAATGGAGAAATAGAGGAAAAGGAATTGTGACATGACCACCTCACATTGGGAATGCTTTCTCTTTTTCCCTTTGGTGAGCTCATGTGCCCTCTGGAAAATTAAAAAAAAAACAAAAAAATAATAACCAGAGGAGTTAGGACCACATTTAGCAAACATTATAGATCATTCAAACCCTTTAACTATCCATTTTATGAGAAGAGAGAAAGTACTGAATCCCCAAGTTGATCCCCCCTTTCACTGAATCTCTCATGCTATCACAGGAAGGGACATCAGCATAAAAACCTCAAGTTAAACTACAACATGGTTAAAATGTCTACCTGAGACCCACTGAAAGGGCTGTTATAAAGTTAATTACACATGTTTTCTTTATTCTATATCATACTCATACATACATACAAAAAAAATGGAACAGTAAGTAAAATAAGCTGGTTTCAGTATTCCTAAAACTTTAACATCCAGCACTTGACTGGGGCTCTTTGATGTTTGTGCTTACCCGTGGTATCATTCGCTATATTAAGAGTTTGATGACGCAGCATTTCTTAAAATAATCCATTAAAGAACTAAGAGTCATTGGTACTGAGCTCCTAAGCTGGCTCTGCGATTACACTGAGCTCACTTACCATTGACTCCTGCTTAAAAAAATGTTGCTAAACGTGTCTGATTCACTCCCTCTCTACAACCATTGGGTTGCTAGCGGTTAAGAAAAAAAAGTTCTCTTGTTTGCAGGGTTTTCTCCCAAGTCACTGACACCCATTTGCAAGTTTTGATGCTGGCTTGTTTGATGTTCCTACATATGCCATCATAACCACACTCACAACTGCAGCCTGGCTGACTTCTATTATAAGATGCTATTGATTGTGAGGTGCGTCCTGAATGAACAGAAAAATGTGCATTTTCAAATAGATTAAATAAGAAAATATAAATTTTCTTTCCTACATGATCAAACTAGAGGATAATTCCTGCAGGAAAGAGGAAGAATGCTAACAATGCACCTTTTTATTCTTGGAAGTCTTTTGAGTGTTAAAAATGGTTTAGTAATGGATTGTAGAGATTATCTCTATGGTTCAACACTTCCTTGTTTGTTTGTTTTTTTTTTTTTTAATTTTTTGCCATAGGGCACATGTGATCTCTGATAGAGACAAAGAGAGAAGGAAAGTGAGAAATCACTTCCTGGGGAGAGATGGCCATTCTGCAATTCCTTCTCTTTCATACTCTTCTCAGGATTTTGGGCATGCACACTTGTGTGCCTAGTGTATTTTTCAGGCCACTGGGTCTGGGACTTGAACTTCAAGTCCCATGTGAGCTCCTGTCCATTGGCCATATGGGATCCAGCACCTTAACCACCATGCCACCTGCTAGTCCCCTTCATTTTTTTTAAATCCATACTCCTTCACCAATAACCCATAGGTTTGCAAACTCCTTTAATCATTTTGCCATTTTTGTGGGGCATAATAAAGAAGGAAATTTAAGTAAAACACTTTATTATAGCTGACTACATTATTAAATATTTATTTCAAGTTCATTTGAACTATGGTCTTTAATATCATCCATATGAATTTAATACATATAAATTTTTACTTTTTACATTTGACTATAAACACACACTGCTTAATATACTTTTCATTGATTGTGTAGGAGAAAGCAGACTTCATGACAGTCAAGTTCAAAATTTTTTTTTTTACTTTAGAATTATTTACTTAATTTTATTTATTATTATTTTAAATTTTGCTGTAGGGCATGTGCTCTCACCAGAGAGAGAGCTAGAGAGAGAGAGAGAAAGAAAACAAGCTGCCTCATCTGGGACTCAAACCATGGTCAGCCATATGGGAGTCCAGCACCTTAATCACCATGCCACCTGCTGGCCCCTCAAGTTTAAAATTCTAACTGATACCTGGTTTGAGGACAGTATATATCTTTAAAGAAATACTGGAATTTCACTTATGTTGAAATAGTCAAAAACCATTTTTATTATCAAGTATTTGGTTTGAACTTAATCAACTGGCTTATTCTTAGAATTTTGTAGGGGGAAAATATTGCCAGCTAGTGGTGTTGTGGTTAAGGCAGCTGGATTGCACATGGCCAACTGTGTGGTTCGAGTCCTGGACCCAGCGATTTGAAAAACACTCCAGGCACATATGCACATGTGCATAAAATCCCAAAAAGAGAGTAGAAGAGAAGGTACTATGGCTTGGCCGTTCCCCTCAGGGAGTGCTTTTTCATCTTCCTTCTTTCTCTCTGCCTCTCTCTGATGAGTGCACATGCACTGTAGCAAATTTTTTAAAAAGATATTAGATTGAATTTTGCAAGCATCCCTCCCACTCCCAAAACAATGGGCTGTCTTCATTTCCTATATTAAAAAAATCCAATTTGGATATAATGGTCACTTTTATCCCCTTTTTTACATCTTTTACTTTTTGGTTTGGTCTCATTTGACACCAAATGTACTGATTTTTACTGTAGAAGCGATACTCTAATAGGTGATACAAGAATTCTGATCAGACAAATGTAACTTATGAGTATGACAGAATATCTTGAGGTTAAATTTTTAGAATTACTTTCATTTAATTGTTTTTACAGTTTATTTATTTCCTCCATGAGAAAGAGTAAAAAAGAAAGAGAGAGAGAGCCCCCAGGGGGTTATTTTTAATTGCCAGAGGGCATGTGAACTCACCAGAGAGGTCCAGAGAGAGAGGAACAATGCACCAACAAGTTGGCATAGTCATGTCACAATCCCTTCTTCATTTCTCCATTTTCAGGATTTTGGGCATGTGGGTACACATGTTTTCAAGCCACGCAGGCCAGGATCTAAACCACAGTTGGCCATGTGGGATGTAGCACACTCTCTCTCTCCTTTTTTTTTTTTTTTTTTTTTTGGTTAAGGTTTTTTCCATAGGCTGTGTGCACTCAATGGAGAGAGACAGAGAGAAAGAAAGAGAAATCATCCTCTCTACTACCGGAGTGGGGACAGGTGACCACCACAATCCTTTCTCTTCCATTCTCTTTTCAGGTTTTCGGGCAGGGGTGCACACATACCCGACATGATTTCCAAGCCACTGAGCATGGAGCTCAAACCATGATTGACCATGTGGGAGTCCAGAGCCTCAACCACCTCCATTTGCTGACCCCAAGGATCTAGTTCTCATAAGCACTTGGTTACAGGCTGCCCCCTGCCATTCCTCCTCCCTCACAAAGAAAAAAAAAAAAAAGACTTGTTGGCGGGATCCACTGCCATTTCCAGCCAGCCTGGCTCATGGGCATGTGTGCCTCCAGGATACAAAAATATTCTTACCTCAAGATACCCTCTGTGTGGGAACCAGCAGTTAGCGTAATGGCTATGTTGCGGGACTCCCATGTAGTCAACCACAGTTCAAGTCTTAGACCCAGTGGCTTAAACTCACACCAGGCACATGTGCATGCATGCCCAAAATCCCGAGAGGAGAATGGAGGAGAAGAGATTGCGGCGTGACCATCCCCCCTGGGGGGTGATTTCTCGCTTTCTGTCTCTATGTCTCTCTCTCTGTCTGTCTGGCAAGCGCACATGCCCTGTAGTGAAAACCTCTCAAAAAAAAAAAAGATACCCTCTGTGTACTCAGGGAGAATACATGCAAACCCAGATCCTTCTCGTATGTGGCAGCTTCCAAGAGGGTCACGAGTGACCACTGTGCCACCATCTGGCTCCCAAGCACTATTGTCATTTTAAATTAAAGAGCTGTGTGCTTTATACTTCCTGTCTTTAAAACAACACATATAGGGGCCAGTCAGTAGAGTGGCGGCTGAGGCATTGGAATCCCACATGGTTGGCCACAGTTTGAGTCCCAGACCTGGTGGCTTGCTTTCTCACTTTCTGTCTCTCTGTCCATCTGGTAAATACATGTACCCTATAGCAAATTTTAAAAATAATAATAATAATAAATAAATAATTCCAAAACAAACATGAATAAAATAATATGTGAAGGAGAATAAAATTAATAGAAAATTATCTACAGTTAAAAACCAGGCGGGTTGCCAGCAGTGGTCAGCTAAGAGATAAACCAACCGAGAAATCTCATGGGTGAGCATCACCAAAGAGTTCCCACCTTGTGCTTCCTCCATATGCACGTGCAAGGCCTTAGACCATTTTGTTTTGAAGTGAAATGTGTATGTATGCGTACGTTTGTGTTTAACATATATGTAACTGTTTTATTACTTATTTATAAAACAGAAATGTTAATGTATTGACTTTGAAGACTTGAGCTGGCCCGGTGGCATAGTGGTTAAGGCAGTTGGATGCCACATGGTCATCTGTGCAAGTCCTGGACCAGGAGACTTGAAAACACTGGGTGCGTGTGTGTATGTGACAAAAATCCTGAGAGGAGAAAGGAAGAGAAGGAATTGTGGCATGGTCATCCTTGGAGAGTGCTCGCGCTCTCTTTTTCTTTCTCCAGCTCTCTCCAGGGAGCACATACTCCCTAAAACAAACAAACAAACAAACAAACACACACACAAGAAATCAAAACCTGAACCAGCCCTCAAGTCCAGTCCCAGAAACCCCAGAACCCCATTAACTTCTAAAAGGCTTGGAGGCATTTAAACAAGATTCCAAAAACAGTCATTTCTAGGTTTAAACCTGTAGCCTGTGCTCATCCCTCAAAAGGCTTTCATTGCCTAGAAAAAGCTTGTTGCCT